TAAGCAGAAACTTTTAGTTGCTTTTCCGTTTTTATTTCCTAAGCTGCGCTGCTGCAATTAAGATAGGTATTGTTTTCTATATCAGAGCTGCAAATTCGCACCTAAGTTTCCTATTTTTAATGGCCTAGAGTTTATTGCATCCGTCTTTTTAATTTTGAGATTCTTTCCGTCGTAGGAACAGATGGAATATTTAAGTAGTTTTCGTTTGACTTCAAAGAGACTTTTTTCCGCTCCTTCGTGTCCTTATTCAAATATTGCGATTTGGATAACAATAGCACTTCACACCAGTTAGTTCTTAAGCTAGTACCTTGTACAGCTTTGATGATTACAAACTAGAGTACGCTAGAGGTCATGTCACTTGTTGGCCTGACCTAGAATAAAAGTACTGTGGAACCAAAGATTGTCTTATCCTTGACGTCCGTATAAGCCCGCTCGAAGTAGATCTCCGTGTGCCAGGAAATCGTGACGAGTTTCCGTTCTCGCTGCCAAGTGGTCTCTACCGAGTTATTTCCCCAAGTTGTTATTGTTCCGTCCGCGAAGATTCAGTTTCCCAGTTAGCGAGCGAAAACCTATCGTCACAAAACAGCTCAATTCATAATTGTAATTGCACTGAGTGGAGTGCAATTTGGGCTGAAATCATACGCGTGATTTGAAATCACAAGTATGATTTCAGATTTCAATTTCCAAAATTGCACGACACGAGGTTCAATTACCACTTTATTACATCCATTTTTAAATCGCACAAATACAGGACTTGGTCAGTTCAAATATTTCATTGATGCAGTTCTGAGCCGGTCTGAAATTAAATTCATGTCCATTTTTTTGGGGAAAAAAGTAACGTTTTTGGAAACAGAAGTTGCAAAATTTGCCACATGATACTCCTTGTCTTTCATTTTTCCTGCAATTTGATCGGTTACTTTAAACAAGCCTTAAAATCTGATTAGTTGTTTTGTTTGTAACGTAACCTCCTCATTTGCTGGGAAAAAGATGCGATTTAAAGCGAAAAATGGTGTGATTCGTGTATAAATCGCACCAATTAGAGCCAATTAGATTACAGGGACTACTAGTGATTTCAAAATGGGTGTAATAAAGCGGCAAACAAACGCAGAAAATGTTTTACGTGCGATAAAGCTTAAAACGGCCCAATTTAGTAGCACACAAACGAAGACATGTTTTTTTACAAAACAAAAAACAATGTCTCAAAACACAAACCAATTTCCAGAAACACAAATCAATTTACCAAAACAAAACAATTTCTCAAAAACACAAACCAATTTCTCAAAGCACAAATCAATTTACCAAAACACAAAACAGTTTCTCAAAACACAAACCAATTTCCCGAAACACAAATCAGTTTACCGAAACACAAAACAACTTCTCAAAACACTAACCAATTTTCCCGAAACACAAACCAAAAGACTGGGCACTTGCGCCGTGATTTAACAAATAGAGAAGCCTTGACTGTGCTCTGTTCTGTTATAAAGCACGCAGGAAGTAGCTAGAGTACGAAAGAAGTGTAGGGAGAAACACGAGACGTAGTTCTTGAGTGCTCTAGCCGCTTCCTAAGTGCTTTATAACAGAACAGAGCAGCGTCAAGGCTTCTCTATTTGATTTATAACAAATAATCCGTTAAATTCCTTAAGCATTACTTTCAATTTTCAAAACAAACTTCATTTCCAAAGCGAACAACAATGTCGACAGCATGCTCCATACTCTCATAAAGCACGCCACAACGAGCCAATCAGAATCCCTGTTAGAATGGTTCAAATAATCTAATTGGCTGTGCAAGGCTAAAGCTGTCAAAAATGTCAAACCATCAAAGTTCACATTCTGCGTTGGTTTACAAACTAAAAGTGTTCGGCAGGTCGAATTTAACACTTTTGCCTGAAGTTTTTAAGTCTCTAATACAAAATCTCTAAGTGAAATGTTAAGCGAACTTCAGCCGAATTATGGCTCATAAAACACGCGAGTTTTTTCACATGACAAGGTAGAAAACAAACTGTTCAAGGGGAGTATTTTTTGAATGAACGACAGCCGAATTCACTGGAACATGAAGATCGCTCGGGATGGCAGCGCCGCAAAACTCGGCTGCAGTGACTGATATGACTTTCCTCAACGCATCGGAAAGGATATCAGAGCAACCTCTTATTTTTTCACTCAAAGGGCGGCCGATGTAGTTTCTGAGGCTTACTTTTCTGTGATGAACGGAGATCGCCATGATGAGTGAGCCGCGATGGACTTTTGCATGATCATATTCGCTCAGACACCGTCATGATTAGTACGAATTTTAACAGTTATGCCAGTTTGGTAATATTTTTCATCATTTCTGTTTTGTTCTGTTTTGTTCTGTTTTGTTCTGTTTTGCTTTTGAACACTGAACTTTATATACTATACGAGTGTTAGCTGTGTTTGATTTTTATTACCGTACGTAAGTAAGCTTGCAATCTAACTGAGCGTGAAAATCTTTAAAACTCGGAACGTCTATTTTGTTTTTCCTTTGAGGATTTTCGTATCTGCTCACATTTTAATAACGTAAATTACGGCGCCTGGTATGTTTACAAACCTTTGTTTAGTTCTTCTGTTGCTGCTTGCCGGCTCGCGTGTTCCGAAATTTCACTTTCATTTGTCGGAAAAAAGCTAAAAAGAAGTCCCGGAAAAGGTCGAACATAGTGCAATTTGGCAGATGGGCTGACAGCTTTAGCTCAGCTCTATGCTCTACACTCTCATAGAGCACGCTCTTTCAACCAATGTCAGCGCGCGTTATATCCGAACTTTATTATAATATCAGAGAGCCTCGATTTTCTGCGTCGAACATGGCGACTGTTTACCATGTGACCAAGCTAAACTCATCGTGCTTTTCGGTATTAAATTTTCGATAACATGTTTTGCAGCCATTGCGGTAGCGATGTAAAATCCTGTTTTAAATTCTGCGTAGAATGTGGTAATCCTACGGCCCAGAACTCTGACGATCGTTCTTCTAGCTGCGAAACGATGGAAAGTCATAGCAGCAGAACTGGATGCTTGGAGGCTGATCTAAGCACATCTGATGTTTTATCTTCCAAAGAACCTGTTCCAAAGTTGGATACCTTCATGAAGAAGAAAAAAGATGAGCGGGTGTCTCATTTTAAGCGGAAGAACAAGAAGTTAAAGAATGAAAAAGGACGAACCAGTGACAATAAACATAGGAATATTGCGTTACGTGGAGGAGGAAAGTATGCTAAAGCCTCAGCGAGGAAAAAGTCTTCCCATAAGGCTTCCTAAAACAGCAGATAGTGAGGAGGTACTAAAGTTAGCTGTGGCTAAGCAATCGCTACATAACGGAAATGAAATTGTCTACAGCTCTGTGAATTCCCACAAACTGCTATACCCAGATGGAACTGAAGTTAAACGACTGAAAGAATTTGATGAGGCATTTAGTTTACATGGATACAAAGCTGAACTGGGAAAGCCTTATAACAGGTTAACATTGTATCTTTGTAGTTCTTCAGATTACCTTTATTATGCCTTAAAATGCCTTGTTGATGTCATTTCTAATGGTAGTAATAGTGAGGGTGATAGTGAAAAGGATTTTGAAGAACTGGGTGAACTCATACAAAGTAAAATTACAAAGTACACCCATACCAACTCTGTGACTTCAAATACTAAAATTACACTAAGTGATTTGTCAGGTCCTCTCCCCATTACCACCTCATCTGTGTCAGGTAGTACTACTGTACATAAATGTGATGCTTATGTTAGCGGTGTCATGAGTAGCAACAATCCTAGCCGTCCTCCTTGTAGTGCCAGTGTTTCATCCAGTTTTGCTGCGGATATCAAAGTCAAAACTCTGGATTTGAGACACTGAAAGAAACTATCAGTATATCAAGGATCACCTGGCCCTGCAATGTTTGCTGCCCCTGTTGCAGACTACATACTGTATGGTAAATTTGATGCCGTGAAAGTGTCAGTTTGTGACCTCCTAAGTGGGAAAGCTAAAACAACTTTAGAAGGGCTGGAAGCCATCAGCGACCCAGTAAAGTTCAAGCAAGAAGCTTCTTTTGATACATCTTTAAGGTTCAAAGCAGGATATACAAAGCCTATTGTGGCTTTTGAAGACAAGCAAGAATTTATCAGATGTATCTGCCTTCACCAGCTCATTTTATCAACCCAATCTAAAATTGATCATTTTATTAAAGGACTGATGACAAATGGCATCTTGGATGTGATAAGAAACAATCCAGACAAATCTCACAAGTTACTGCAGCATGATAATAACGAGAGGCTAACTGCTGAGGTTGTAGACAACCAGTTTCATTGCATTTTTTCTGATAAAGGGGCAACAAACATAGAGGTGAAGAAGCTATAGCCTTCAACTTCCCAAATTACCTGGAAGATGTTGATCAAGGCTTAGTGACCTCAAATGTCCCAGATCCTGACACAGAAGAGATTCACACCAGTGAAGTGGAACTTGCATTTGTTTTGCAGTTTGTAACAGGATATGATGGAATACCTGCTATTGGATTTGACACAAGTTTAACTATCATGTTTGATCACAATAAGCCCCATAGGAAACTAACAGCAAACACCTACTCAAACTTTCCAGTTTGTGATTTGCTCGCCAATTATGAGTCGTTTAAGAATGAGTTCACAGAACGCATGTTCAGCTCACCTAGTTTTGGTAAAGTGTGAATTATGCTAGGCTGTTACACATAGTTAAAGTGCTTGTAAAACGTCCTTAGTGATATTGTGTTTGCTACATACAAAGTTCTTATTTAGATTGAAAAAAAGCCGACTGTTCAGTTCTGTTGTTTCAATACACATTAATAAAGTTATGCTTAAAATAGTATACATTGTGTTCTAGCTAAATGATGACATTCTGGCCCTTTATTTATCAAATGAATGTATAATGCATGTCGTTATTGATGTTATTGATGTTAGGTATGATTGTGACAAATGTTGAAATAATATTTTCATATTTTGCTGGTAATGAGAAGTGCATCAAGTACTTTTTCACTGGCTAAATCATCATCACACTCTGCTCTTAGAAAGCTCTGTACACCTGCAATTACTACATTCTCAGTTCCACAATCTGTTCTCAGTAACGAAGGGCAGCCCCCGACCTCCTCAACACAGTCTACAAAATATTTGGCCATGACCTTTGGATCATTGTTAGTCCTGTCAACATAAAGCCGTAATACCTTGCCACTATAGCCATCAATAGCACCATGAATTAGAAGGCCAAAAGATTTTAATTTGTCATTCCCATCCACATGCCAGCAGTAATTTGGTCTAGGTGAGTTATACTTTCTTCTTTTCAACTTGTGCCTTTTTCGCTGTTCTACTCCAGCTGGATCTAACTCTCTTAAAAGGGATGCCACCTTAACCCTTGGAACATACAAGCCATACTTCACATGCAATGTATGCCACATCCTTATGTAACCAAAAATGCTGCCTGGGCCATCCAGCTCGTTTCGTATCAATCTCTCCACGTCAGACAAATCGACCTCCGCCTTGTTTCTTTTAAGATTGCATTCAGATAGCCTCCTTTTAAGCGTCAACAACGCAACACAACGATGATACTTCTCAAGAAAGCATAGAATAACGTTGTAGCTGAATCCATTCTTAAAGTTAGCCTGTATTGCTTCCTTTTTCCGTTACATTTTTGGAGGACAGCAGTAATCGAAAAGATGGCACAGCAATTTCCAGCTTTTTTCCAGACTGAGAGTAATACAAATAGTCCTCTAGCACTTCAGATCCACAATTGTAGCAGAACATTTTCGTTAAATCGTCCACAACAGAGTAACAGTCGCCATGATGGAAGCGGAAAATCATGGGACTGAGTCCCTTCCAGGATCTCTCTGATAATCACGGCGCAAGTGCCCAGCCTTTTGGTTTGTGTTTCGAGAAAATTGGTTTGTGTTTTGATAAATTGTTTTGTGTTTTGATAAATTGTTTTGTGTTTCGGTAAACTGATTTGTGTTTCGGGAAATTGGTTTGTGTTTTGAGAAACTGTTTTGAGTTTCGGTAAATTGATTTGTGATTGATCCTTTTAGGCCATCGTCCATGTTTCTGGTGCTATGAAGCTGAAAACAGGGTAATTTAGCAAGAAAGAAAAAACGTTGGTTTCAGTAAGATACAGTTTCAATTAGCGTGATTAGCTACAACAAGGAGAAAACGTTTCTCGATAAAAAAAAAACGAAAACAGCGTCATTTAGCGACTAAAAGCAAAAACCTTGATTTGACTGAAATAAAGCTAAAATCAAAAGAGAGGACTTCCGAACCTAATACCTTCTCCTAGTTTATTAATCTGTCCTGCGGTAAGCATATTCTGATAGGGGATAAGTTCTGCTATATTATCAATGGGTATAATATAGATTTTCCAGTTTTGCAGTCTATTTGAGTCTGCTTCTTTGACTATTTAAGCAGACGAAGGATTTGAGCCAGATTCACAAGTAAACGTTTTTTGGGTGCGATAATGCTAAAAACAGCTCATTCTACGGCAAAAAAGCGAAAAAACGTTTTCGGTGAGATAAATCTAAAGGGGACGTAATTTAGCTGCATAGAGGCTGAAACTTAGTCTTCAGTGAGATAAAACTGAAAACAGCGTAAATTTAGCGAAAAACAAACGGAAACATCTTTTCGGTGTCATAAAGCGAAAGAAAGCGTAGTTTAGCAACAAAAACTGAAATAACTTACTTATTACAATCTATAGTCAAAAAAGGCCAAAGGATAATCTGTAAAGGAGTTCGAAACCCCACATAAAAACAGATCACCTATGAACTAATATAAATACACCAAAGATAATAAATTCAAGAAATGCATTTATGAAAAGGAAAAATACTTAAGAATCACTAATAAATTTCTTAACTCTTGACTTAAAAATATTTACATCATCAGAATAAAAACAGATCACCTATTGATTAATATAAATACACTGAAGATAATAAATTCAAGAAATGCATTTATGAAAAGGAAAAATACTTAAGAATCACTAATAAACCTCTCAACTCTAGACTTAAAAATATTTACATTATCAGAAAAACGAATATCGAAAGTGACCATCTCAACCCTGATCCTGTTCGTCACAAGCTCCCAGACACAGACTTTAGGATGTTTGCCATGCAAGAGCAAATTAACGAGCTTGGAATGAAGCTAGATGGAATCGCTAAGAGTATACAGCCTAAACAGGAAGTTAGTTATAATTGGAGGAAGTACAGTTTCAAGACTAAACCCGTATGTTATCGATGTGGACGCCGCGGCCATATTCAGTATTATTACAACTATAACAAAACTAATGACGGTTTCCAAAAGGAGAGACAGGTCCTACATCGTGCTACCAGACCAACTTACACTCAACCAGAAGAATCTTCCACTTACGAAGAAGAGAACCAATCAGATGTTGAAGGGACTGCATCACAACTCGAGAGTCAGGAAAACGCCACAAACAACCCTGATTTACTACAGAAGATGAAGCCGACACGAACTAGTAACCGGATTAGAAAGCCGAGAAATCCAAACCTGAAGCCAAGAAAGTTACAAATGTCAAATCAGTCAAGTGTTCAGCTACCTCTTGTAAATACGTACCCTAGTAACCTGATCACTAAAGGTAAAATAGCAGGAAAAAACCTTTTCGTCTAACGTTGGATACTGGTGCAAGCGTTTCAGCTATAAAAGAAGAAGTTTTAAAAGAGATCTACGGTGACGTTCCCTTCTCCACAATTCAGACTGGGAAAGACAACCTACAGCTAAGAAGAATTACCTTGCCGTTATGTCTTAAGGAAAGTCAGTTCCTTTGTGAATTCCAGGTCGTGCAGAACCTTACTTATGACGCCATCCTTGGTCGCGATTTCCTCCAAGTAAACAGAGCTATGATTGACCTCGTTAACAACACCATTACTCTTAAAGAATCAGCAAATCAACAAGAGCGAGCAAGTTCAGCCTCAACACCTTTGACAGGAACGTTTAAACCTCAAGAAAAGAATGTCAGAGCAAATGGACACGCCTCTACCAGTGAAGGTTCAGTGCAGCCTCCTGTAGGAAACTTACCTTCCCGTTATCCAAAGAACAAAGAAGTTGCAATAAGCCAGTCACTATTGATATTAGTGCTCATTGCTGTGTCCCTGTCCGCAACATTTCACACCGACGCAAATGGTAACTTCAGGTCTGTTATCCAAAAGCCACCACCGTCCTTCGCACAGGTGTCACAAAAGGTTTGGCACCAAGGAGATCTTTCTGATACCCCAGCCAAAACTGATTACAGAATGGAATCTAACGAGGGATTTGCTCAATATAAAGAAGTACCTCCAGGAATGGAAATGCCTAAGTTCATGATGCACCTAAGGAGACTACTTATCCTCAGACCCATGACTGACTTTAGCAACAAGTAGAGTGTACCACTTAGTTGTTGACCAGGAAGTAAGATAGGATCAAGACGATTGTTAACTTGTTATTTTTTAAATTCTTCCAAGAAGTAGGTTAACAACTCCTTAGTAAATAGAAGATTACGCGCAGTAAGAAATACGACATAAGGGCATGCAAGAAGAGAAATATTGCTTTAACTCGAGTTAATGGTTATAAGAATGCCAAGTGCAATGGTCACTATGACCTCTAAGTTTCTAGGAGTTTTTCTCGACCAGGAGGTCTCGATTTAAGGTAGGAGGAATGTTACGGGAAAATTCATTGATTTTCCCGTGTGTGTTATTCGAAACATATTCATTCGTAAACTTTCACATTTAACCATTTCAAGTCCTTTCATTTTAATAAATCAAAAAATGCATAAAAAAACCACAGTAGCTTTTGAATAGATTTTTGTTGTACTCGCTTTCATCATATGCACCTGCTTGTCGGCACTTTTGTTATTTATTACATGGTTTTTTTTAGGCAAATATAAGTGTTAAAGGTCTTTCTGGAAACATTGGTTTTCATGGTAGATAGCAGCTGAGTTTATACTCGTAACTTTAATTTCTTTTCGTGCGATGGTTTCCAAACCAATCTTGCATAAATAAGCAGAAACTTTTAATTGCTTTTCCGTTTTTTTATTTCCTGAGCTGCGCTACCGCAATTAAGATAGGTATTGTTTTCTATACCAGAGCTGTAAATTCGCACCTAGGTTTCCTACTTTGATGGCCTAGAGTTTATTGCATCCGTCTTTTTAATTTTGAGATTCTTTCCGTCGTAGAAACAGATGGAATATTTAAGTAGTTTTCGTTTAACACCAAAGAGACTTTTTTCCGCTCCTTTGTGTCCTTATTCAAATATTGCGAACAACAATAGCACTTCACACCAGTTACTTCTTAAGCAAGTACAGCTTCGATGATTACAAACTAGAGTATGCTAGAGGTCATGTCGCTTGTTGGCCTGACCTAGAATAAAAGTACTGTGGAACCAAAGATTGTCTTATCCTTGACGTCCTTATAAGCTCGCTCGAAGTAGATCTCCGTGTACCAGGAAATCGTGACGAGTTTCCGTTCTCGCTGCCAAGTCGTCTCTACAGAGTTATTTCCCCCAGTTGTTGTTGTTCCGTCCGCGAAGATTTAGTCTTCCAGTTAGCGAGCGAGAAAACCTTATCGTCACAGTTGATCCTACTCAAAATTCCTTCAAGCTCTGGAGCCGTTGTTATAGTTTCAAATAACAGGTTTGGGTTAACAACAACTGTGGCCAGATTGACATCAGTTGTTGATTTAGAGTAGACAGATTGAAAAAACACATTGAATAGTTTCACCTTAGAATTCACGTCTCTAGACCTAGTGTCTCCATAAATAACAGTTTCCGGAATTCGTTTGGTCTTAGAATTATTAGAATAGAATGACGAGATATGCTTAGGATTTTCTTGGAGTTTTTCAGATAAAGACTGATCCATTAGTTCTCAAAAGTTCCCAAAGTTTCTTCTTCTTTCTAATCAATTTCATAATTTCGTTATCAATCCAGGGAAGCCTAGAACGCCGTTTCAGAGTTCTTTGTGGTATGCCCTGGTCAATAGCAGAAAATAACATGTCCTGGAATTTCTCTAAGCTGGTGTCAATACTAGTATCCGATGTTACCAGGTCCCAAGGTAGAGCTCTTAATGTCTCTTCCAAACCTTTAAAATCTCCTCTTCTGTAACAATAAACTTTACCTGAATATGAAAGCGATCTTTGCAGTTATGAACACTACTTAAACAGTAGTGAAAAGAGGGCCTGAGGCCGGGTTTATTTAGAACCGTTTAATAAACTTTACGTCGAGCATTTTTTGGCCTTGTTTTCTTAACATGTAACTTGAGAGGGTTAGAGGGTGATGATCAGAGTCAAAGGCATTAGTATGCACTAAGACGTATTTGATAAGATACTCATTATTGGTAAGCACAAGATCAAGAATATTCCCATAGGTGCTAGGATTACTAGTATCACGGGTCACATGGTGGTTCTTCTTCTGAAGAAAGAAATCACCCAGGACATTACAGAACTCCACAGTTTCAGGGTCGGACACAATGGGGCATCCGAGGTTCCAGTTGATGTAAGGAAAGTTGAACTCTCCTGTGACCACTAAGTTTGTCAAACCCGTGCCTGAATATTTATTAAAAAATATCTAAAATCAGCCAGAAATGATTCATCTGCATTAGGAGGTCTGCAAAACACCGAGAGAAAAATACTACAAGTAGGATTTAGTT